AGACATTGAGTGTATATAATATCTGAGCTGTTGAAATTTAAATTAATGATTCTAAATTTATATTTACTTAAGCTTGATGAATGAGTAAATTTATAAAAACAGTTAATTTGTATTTTAACAGTTTAGATGTTATAGGTACTCGATGCTTGTATTAAGTATATTCACTGAATTTAAATTTTAAGACAAGTAAATAAACTAACACAACAATTCATTCTATCCTGCATGGACAAAATCCATTGATAGGAACACTTACAAGGTACAAATTTTACAGTATAATCGCAGGACAAACATCTTTTTAGAAAGGCCGAAGTCAAAGAAAGTACCACAACGGCTCTATATATATATATATATATATATATGCTTCCCAGGGAGACCTATCCTGTGATCTGTGTGCGAAGATCCCACACCTACACTTCAATATACCTGTACTCTTTCTGCATAATATATAAACCTTGCTTTGAAATTTCCATCATGTTTAATTTGAAATGCTTATATACACGTTCATGATCGTGTTAAGTTAAGCAGCTGCTAGAATTATTAATATTGTAAGGTTGTAGAAACTCGAATATTAGCTTCTAACCTCCCAAACTTAACTTTTTCTGATGTCTGCTACCAACTTGCCTTCTGTAACATCAAAATGGCTATAGTCTGCATATTTTCCTGCTTCCTTTGTCTGTTTGTTTCATTTTCCGTTTTTAGTGTTCTTCACTATGGTGAAGAAAGATGTCATAGGACCTGGAAAAGACAGAAAAGCAAGGGACTCAGATGAAATTTGACATTGCTTTATGCAGTAGCTCCAGGTTGCCGATGCCGCTGCTCCTGCTTGTTTTCATACTGTCATTTCCATCACAATCTGTGTGCCCGTGCCACAATTGAAACTTGATAGAATAATGCTATACCCTATATATATATATATAGCCCCTACTTTCATATTCTTCTGTCATACCTGTCTCCTTCTGAGCGCTTTCAACCATTGTTTACAATCTTTCTTACGTTCACATTCTCACATGATCTCTACAGGAAATAATAAAGGCTTGTCTTGAAAGTTGTAAAACTAAATTTCCTCAAGTAGCAGCTTGTCATTTGGCTTCAATCTGCCAACTTTCCATGCAACAGAACAAGGATTAATATAATTTCTTATATAGGCATGATTAGATCACACTATTCATGGAGAAGGAGTCGTTAATCAAAATCCTATTGTGATAGAATCGCTCTAAATCCTTATGACAATCTCATTTCTTTTCTGAGTCTGATTTTGAAGTATAATTAATCAATGCTTAATGAGAAAAAAAAAATGTCCCTTCCAGATCTAGTGGATGCCAGTCTTGCCGACTTCCCTTCAGATACATCACTGATAGTGCCTCTATGGCTCTTACCTGACAACTCATGGGCCTACAAGATGTTAATGACCCCCAACATATTGTTAAAGTCTTATAATTTGCAATCAATTAACTAAATTGTGAGCACAGTTTTGTATCATACCCAAACTGAGGAAAAGAAATTAAGGTCGTTTGGTTAATAAAAATAAATAAAATGAATGCATTGAAAAAAATACAAAAAAATAAATTAAATTACCCTTTCCCTTATAGTAAATATGATAAAATTTATTAATATATATTACAAATGTAAAAATCATCACACCTTTCAAAAATCTCATAAATCATGATTTCTAATTTCATAAATTAAATTACTTTTATCTTTTATGAATGTGCACACATATCCCTTATAATTATTTTATTTTTACCTTTATATCTTTAATCAATTTCATTTCATTCCTTTCAATGGAACCTAACTGACAAAAAGCTATTCCTGAATGTTTTACGTTTTCAACAGTACCCTCTCTAACCTGATATTCGTTCTCTCTCTTTTATGCCTACAATCCCACTTGAAGGTCACACCCATGTGAGCCATGGAGATATTTTGATTTGAAGAAAAATTTGGGTGACTAGTTCGGTCATGTGAATCTTGATCGGTGGAGGAGAAGCACATGAAAAGCAATGAGCTTTTGGCAAGTAGCAAGTGAAAAGATGCAAAACCAATATAATGGTTCCTTTTTCCAATTAAGAGAGGGATGTGTCAAGCGCATACGGACAACAAAAGCCAATAGGAAAGCGAGCTCTTTAACGTTGATACATGAGAAAGGTGATGCTGTGATGCATAGCTAGGCCCTTAGAAAGAGAGGTTAGGGCGTACACAACAAAACAAGGCTCATAAGAGCAATTTAAGGAGACGTGCAACTGCTCAATTCCAAAATTTCTCTATGCATTCTTTTGTTGATGTCTGCCCTTTAGAATGAGATAATTGAAAAAAGACAAATCTTTTCCATTGCCTTTTATGCAGACAATGGGCTATATGCTTGTCACTTTCTTGCTCAATCGAATGAACCCCACTTTTATTCTAAGTACGTTGGCTTCCATTCACCCATAACTATTAACAAGCTGAGTAAATTGGCCAATGCAGTGCAAAATTTATTAATAAAAAATTATGAAAGAAGTTTTTGACAATTTTGGAACGTGGCCCATTTACAATAAATTGAGGTGTGATTTTCGTTTTTACTCCAAAACAAATAAAAAATTGTGTAACAAAATAGTGAAACTCTCATAATTGAATTATTATAATTGTAGCTCATTTAAAACCATATATCGCTTCAATATTTAAACACTTTTAAATATTTTATCACCAGCTTAATAAGTATAATATATTTCAAATTTAAGAATTAAAATGAGAATGAGAATTCATATCTAAGGAGAAGGGGCATTTTTGTCATTTTAATTTAATTTAAATATTAATCTAGCTACATTACAAAATATTTGAAATGTTGGGCTATTATCTTTATTTGGTCATATTAAATGGGTTATATGTGCCAAAAACTCCTAACTAATAAATGTGAGTCATGTGTGTGTGATGCACAAGGCATGAAAAATAATCCTATTATTTACGGGCCATGGCTCATGAAGAGTATCATTTATTATAATTTTTATAATATATAATATAAAAAACATCTCATAAATTATATTATTTATGAATCATGAATAAATCACTCTACTTGTCAGATTTTATGCAATGCACATGGAAAGAGATTTTTCAAGTTACATATCCTATTCACACACAAGTCTTAAACAAAAGTCAGCAGTGCCAGTCCTTATTAATCATTAAGAGAGCCTCCTTAACTAATCCAAATCATTCCCAACAACTATTCTAACATCACCGCTCTTAAGAATTAAACAATACACATAAAGCTCATCTCTATATTATGCCAGTTGAGGTTTGATGCTTCAGGAATTCTAAGGCCTCATGTAACCAAAATATAAATATTTTTTCTTCAGTTAATCTTAATTCAAAATATAAACAATTTAATACATGTAAAAAAATATCTCCATTTTGCCCCTTATATTTACTAATATAGATCTTTGTGTAAATATATCTCTTGTTTATTACAGAGTGTATTGATAATTAAAACTAGAGATAAAAAAAATTAATATATATTTTTATAGGAACAATGATTTTATTGGTATGAAATTTCTTTTCAAAAAACTGCTTATGTTTTGTATCAAAGGGAACACTGTAGAAGTGTGATTTTATGGATGTATTATTCATATTATTATATAAAATAATGAGCAAAAAAAAAAAACAGGGGTCCATGAACATTCCAATGTCACTGCTCTAGCTTCGATAAATTTGTGAAGCCCTCTACAAAATTATAGGGTATGTTCTGAAGTAACTTGACTTTTTTTTTTTTTAATGAAGTCTGAATTTGAAAGCATGAAATTACAGTAATAATGTGTAATTATTGAGCTCATGAGTAGGAAAAAGGTGCTTTAAACAAGACAGAATTTAAAAATGTATTGAATATGATCAAGTGGGTTCCAATAATTAATATTACTTTAGGAATTGATGGAAGTAGGGTGGAGCCAGGAGAATCAGATAGTCCAGAAGTTGAAAAGGAAGGATAGAGCATAAAACAGTGGCGGTGTCAGAGCATGTGATATAGCTATGGCCACTAGCTAGTGAAGGTTTTGGGGCAAGGAAGAGGAGACAAAGCAAAACGAAACGAAAGTGAAACAGAGTCCCGTGAAGAGGGAAGACTGATGTGCATGTACGTATATGTCTCATTGGCAGTCACTAATATAATTTTCTGATCGAGACCATCCTTTCCTATTGCCCACTGGTTCACTTCCCACATCCTTTCCCATGCACAGGTTTAAAGCTTTTAGCAGTCTCATGATGAATATGACAACAATATCATCCATCTTTTTCCTTCTCTTTCAATTATGCCATGCCTCTCCCTGTTTACCTCCTGTGATTCCCCACCCGCCAAACCCTTTTTGGCTTCTCATAACAAAATCAACTTTTACCTTATTCAGAAGCACACTCTGCTTCATAACTCCTCTTATTTGAATTACAAGAATCTAAAAAAGGATGTCATTTGAAATCAAACAATTACAACCCTTCATGTTGACTTGAGACACTAAACCTGAAAGCAGTTTCTGTAGCTTGTGATTCAAATTGAACTTAAATGGTGGAAGCTTTTTTTTTTTTCCCTTTGTTTTATCATTATTAGATCACGGGGTGGTGCTAATGCCTTCTGTATTGATGATGATGCACTATGTTTCAACTTTCAAGTCGCACATCAATGACAACTAAAACTATTCTACAGGACATGCTTGTGAAGAAAAAAATTTTGGTCAGTTTTTAAGTTTTGATGTGAATTACATGCCTTAAATATGACCAAGTAAATGAATTAATTGGGATGAGATTCGAAACACTTGGCCAAAAAAAAAAAAAAAGAGTTATTTTGAGTATACCTTGATCATCTGAAAAGATGACATCACGAAACACGCAAGAAAAAATATCTGAATTTCCCACTTGCAATTTCATATAAGACGAGAGATAGTGGATATATTACCCCAAAAAATAAAAATAAAAAATAAAAATATAATGGGTGTGTTTTTATGGCAATCCGTGTCTGAATTACTATGAATCGCCCAAGACTCAATTCACCGACTATAAATAGCCCAGCCAGAGATTTGTGCTCTCACTCATACAATATTCACAAAAGAGACGGGCAGAAAAGCAGAGTTGAAACAGAGAAGATGGGTTGCAGGGAGCAGAAAAGGATGTCACTACGCAGAAAACTTCACATTCTGCGAACTCATATCAACTCCAAATCTGTAAAGCCATGAAACTTATCCAAACACAATCTCTCTCAAATTTCGTTCACATTTTATCAGGGTTTAAGTCTTTTGATGTATGTGCTTAAGTTTTTATCGCTGTTATGTTTTGAAGGCCAACAGAAGCTTCTTTACCAAAAGCACCGTTCTGCAAATATACAGGCTAAAGGTCATGCTGGAAACGATCAAAAGAGAGTATGCCAACCTCATAGCAGCAAGAAGAGAATATCAAAACTTACTGAGCCATGTTCAAGAGCACAAGGTTTACTCACTAGTCATCTGACTCATCTCCCTACCCCCTTTTTCCCCCCTCAGAGACAAATATCAAACACATGGCGCGCATGGAAATGAGCGTCTTTAACTTTTCAATATGTTAAGCTGTGTTTTCATGAAAATGAGCAGAATGTGAAAGTAGAGAAGGTAGCAGAAGGAACCTTTGCAGCGAAGGTAACTTGCGAGAAAGGAGGAGACAAGCTGGTCGCTATCTTAGAGGCGTTTGAGGAGAAGGGTCTCAATGTGGAGCAAGCCAGGGTTTCATGCGATGATGGTTTTTCTATAGAAGCCATTGTAGTAGCAGAAGACCAAGCTCTGGACACCAGAAATGTTGCTGAAGCGCTTCTTAGAGCAATCGGAAAGCAGAGCGGCGAAAATTAGCTCGTGAGGTTCAAGATCATTGTAGTCAGAATCTACAATTACAGGTTACTGTATTTCTTCTATATGTTGAAACATCTAAGACCAGTTAATACCAATTTCCAGTTCCTCTTCCATATTACACAATGAATTAAGTGATCCCTCTGCCCGTCCAACTTGTTAGATGAGGGATTCTCAATGCCTTTCCGCTTCGTGAAATCGGTAAAAACATAGAGGCAAAAAATCTCAACTTTAAATTTAATACTTCCTTTTCCTTTTTTTGTTGGACCCCCCCCCCATTTTTTCTATTGAGACATATATAAAAAAATTAATTATTATAAAATTTATTGATAATTAAATTAAATATTAATATAATTTAATTCAGTTATTAATAAATTTTATTAATTAATTTTTCTGCGAGAGACCTGACAGTTCTCCCTTTTTCCAGTTGACGGTGGAAACTGGAAAGTCGGTTGAGGTTGTATATCAATAGCGTGTGTAATTTTTGCTTGCTGAAATATTAAATCTTCAAGAAAATGAAAATATCTTTCTTATGCCTATTAATTATTATTTGGGTCTTACAGCCTTCCGTTCTTGAAGGCCCTTCATTGAAAGCGTTGTTTTGAAGAGAAGTTTAAAAGTCTTCAACCACCAATTGATGGAATATTAAATCTCCTTTTTATCCCTAATAATTTGTGTAAAAAAAGAAAAAAAAAGAAAAAAGTATGGGAAGTAGTAACTCCTAGTCCTATAACACAGACTATAGAATAATATATTTGTATTAACCTTTTTTTGCCTGAATAATTCTGCTAATCTACTAATAAAACTGAAGCATCCAGTCCAAAGTATAGTAAATAACCAAGCATTTTAGTTTAATTTGTTTAAAAAAAGAAAGAAAGTGAATTTAAACATAGGCAATGTGATGGAACAGCAACCTAAATGCAACAGTGAATTAAAATTAAAATCATTTTGTATCCAAAAAAAATTAAAATCATGTTACACAGTTACAGAGGTGGTTTGGCATGTAAAAAATGTAATTGAAAGAATACTTTTTATAAAAAAAATGCTTATATTTTTAAATAAAGAATACAAAGTAATGACCACTATCAAACAAATAAGGACGAAAATATAATAAATTTTGTATATTACATTATATTATTAGGCGGTTGCATACTTTCCCACTGGGGTGGGTGGTGGCCAAACCAAACATCCCCTAAAGGGGCTGAAAGGGCAGTGGACTCTTTAGACCTATAGAAAAATATGTTAAAAAATAATGAGGCCCAATTAGTTTACAACAAGACAGTATCAACTTGCATGGGCCATCCGTACAAAAAACAACTTTAAGAAAGAGGAGAATCTTTTTTAAAAAAAAAATTTCTCCAGACCAATGTGAATAGAATCATCCTGCAAATCTGAGCCTGCCCTTTAATTATGCATGTTGGACCAAGTGGATGAGATACATAATAGTAGTCTATACCTTTAATCATCATTTCAAAATTCAGTTTGTGTGTTTAAAAAAAATTACTTAAGAGATAATGATCCTTTAAATAGAGTTTAAATTTTGAGGGATTAATTTCATTGCGATCAGTTATGAGGATACATTGGGTAACAAAAAAAATTATGCCTGTTGGAAATTGGGCCACTAATTAATGACATTTGAGTCCCTTATTATCAAGTAATTGTTGACAGTTTGATCCTTTGAACACATTAACAATTATGATATATTTCTTTTATTCTAAATTTAAGACACTTTTAAAGGAGTTTTTCCATTCCATAATATAAAATACTTTGAGTAGATTTAAAGTTTCATTAAATGTATCAATTTCAATATTTTTTTTCTCTCTATAATTAACTTATGTGCCTTCTCTTTTCAATATATTAAATGATGGGAATTTTTAAAGTTTATATTTTTATTTTGAGAAGATAAGATTGTTAAATACATTTAATGAGAATTATTGATATATAAAATTTTATTTAAAAATATTTTATAATTTGGGATGGAGGAAATATTATATATTGACAACTTTATATTTTAAGATAAAACTAAAGTGTTAATTATTCTCTTAAAACTAAAGATTTTACAGTGAAGACGATTCTAATGGTGATTTCTCACATGGTAAGAATAAAGAAATTTTTAACTAGATCAACAATGTCACATTATTTATATTTTTTTTAATAAAAATATAATATTTAAATAATATTAAATATAAATTAATTTTTATATCAATAACAATAAAAAACCAATAAATTAATTATATTTTTTTATTAAAAAATTAATTATATATTTTATTATAAATAAAATTAATTAAAATAATGTTATATAAAATTTTATTGAGGTGATTTGAAATATTTTAACTAGACTGGTAATTTGTCATAAAAAATACGTTGCCTTGGATAGGGTTGGTGAATCGAGGGAGAATTGCGGGGGCAAACAATCATAATGTGGGACCCCTACAGGAAAAAACAAATCAAACAATTATTGCAACCATCTTGTCATCTCACTGACCCTTATCCCCATTTAATCCAGGACTCAAAGTTAGAGTTAAAAATAAAGATAAAAATTAAAAAGTCATTCATTTAAATTATTTTTATAAAAAATTAAATTTAAAAAATACTATTTTTTAAAAAAATTAAGCTTAATCTGATAGATTTTTAAAAATGAGCTCGAATTTATACTTTGAAAATTAAAATTTTATTTATTTTAATTTTTAAGCCTTATAATTTATATTTTTAAAAAATATATGAAATATAATAATTAAAAATTTTAATTTTTAAAAATTTTAAAAAAATAATAATAATAATAATAATGGCTTACGGCTTAGTCCTGAACTCTTTATATAAAAGTCGAGTTTTAAAAAAAAATATTTTAAAAAATTAAGTTTAAGAGGTTAAGCCATTATGAACTGGGCTCATATGAATTAGGCTCGTTCATTTTCCAACTTTACTCAAAGCGTACACCATTTGATTATTCCTGCAGACGCATTCACATACATGCATGCATGCATTGCATGTGCGCCTGTATTGAAGAGAGTACTCATAAGTCATGATAGGAGCAAAGCTGCATGATGCATGTGCTCATTTGGTGGTTGGCGCATGCACATTGGTCATGTTGTGAATCGTGACAAGAACACTCAAAGCTATTTTAACTTTTTTTTTTTTCTTCAACATTACGACGTTTTCAAATTTTGTTATACCTGAATTTGTCCCCTTTCGAAAAAAATTTCAACCACATCAACATATATATTTACAATTTAAAACATCATTTTAATGAAAATAATTTAAAATATTATTTTTCAACAAGCGGAAACCTGATCTACTGATTGATAACGGATAGACATGTACCCAAAAAAAAAAAAAGGCACTCTTGTACGAGTTTTATTATAAATTATAGAGACAATGGTTTCTAGAAATGTGCAGACTTTGTTTTGCGGGAAAAAAAAAAAGATCAGAAAGCCGCAATGAAATTATCAAAATGCTCAATCATGGGAATCATTTGTGAGAATCTTCCATTTTAATGTGGAAGTCTTATCACAACATGCTGTGAAACAATTTTTTCTTTTAATACAACAGATAAAACGTGTAAAGAACAAGTAAATTAAATCCACATCTGAAACTATTATCTCTTTGCATTCTGAGCCATTGTAGATAATAATATTAAAATTATCTTTAAATGTTTGATAAGTAAAGAAATTAATATATTATTTGCTTTTTAAAAATTAATATACATGATATTTTAAAATCAGTACTATTATTAACTAACAATGGTACCGTTAGTTTGGATTTTAAGAAAAAATATTCTCAATATCAAATCAAAAGGTATTTATCTTTAAGGTTCCCGGATTTAATAATACTTACATGACGCAAATTTATCAGTCAAATTATGCTTATTTATCATTAAAATATATCGAAAAATTATAAGTTAAACAATATTTACCATTATTAATTATTTATCACTGAAACAGCACATATTTATAAATAAAACTACAAGTATTTGTCATTCAGGTTCATTAGGAATAAATAACTTCTGAATTTAATCTTCCTAAGTTTCGTACGTATGAGAATCACATCATGCCATCTCACGAATTATATCATCACTTTCCTGTGTCAGAATGAGAAACATCAAAATTATATTGCACTTAATACAATGTATGAGATAAAAATCATGTCATCTCACTTGATTTTCAACATGTAATTTTTTTAAAATATACTTAAAAAATAAACCATTCAACGTTCATATATTTTAGTAAAACATTTTATTAAATAAAAATAAATATAAAAAATTATACTCTTTTCTTTCAAAAATATAAACATTTTTAATTGAATTTCACTCTAATAAAATAGTTAATGCTTTTTAATTAATCTTATCTTTTCATATTTACCCCTATTAAATACTCTATAATAAATATAAAGTCATTATGAATAGGGATACTTTAAAAAAAAAGTAATGATTACACTTCAAAAGATTAAAAATATCTTATATTTTTAAACATTCAACTCCTTAAAAAATATCTTATATTTTTAAACGGAAGAAGTATAAATTTAAAAATAATTAATTAATTTATTAAGAGTATAATTTGATCAAGGAGAGGAATATAAAATTGAGTTGAAATTTGTAAGGTAACGGGAAATACAGGTTTCATGGACCTGGAAGACACGTGAATTAAATTTCATTGGCTGGACCGCATTGACAAAGGACATTAGGATCGCAAGACAATTGGGTTTGTAAGGCAAACAAAAGTGATAGGATTCCATTGCTTTTTCTACTTTATATATTTAATACTGTTTCATCAAAAGCTGCAAATGTTCTTATCACACTCTCGTTTCAAGAGTTCTTAATTTTGGTACTATATTTATCATAGTAATTGCTTGGCCCATAATATAATTAATCAGTACCATTACATTTAATTTTCCTTCATTTAATAGAGCTGCCGTGCTTGGTTTGGCCATAATTAAATATACAGATGTGAACAGGGAAGCCTCTGTTCCTTCAAAGTGAGGCAGCCACGCTTTTGCAAACTCTTTCAGTTGATAGACAACGACCAAATCTAGATATGAGGTCGAGGATCTTGTAGAATTCAATTAATCTTACATTTGCTGTTATTATCATTGTTGTCAAATTTTTAAGTTAAATTTTT